TACTACTTACGACTTACTACTTACTACTTACTACTTACGATTTACTATTTACTACTTACTACTTACTACTTACTACTTACTACTACTACTACTACTACTACTACTACTACTACTACTACTACTACTACTACTACTACTACTACTACTACTACTACTACTACTACTGCCACTACTTCGCGGGGGCGGGTGGCGCCTCATAATGCCCCATATGGTGCATTACATAGGCATGCCGAGAAACTCCACGCTTTCGCAGCTGGGGAGGGCCCTGGGGGCAGGCGCAGCGCCAGTGGCGGTGGCCCGCCCTGCCACCCCTCGCCGAGGTGGGGCATCGATCGCGCCCGCGCCTCCGCGCGCGCCCGAAGCGCCGCCCGGCGGCTGCGAGCCCCGGCTCGGCGCCGCAGTAGGGCGGCCGCCCCGCCGCCGCGGCTGCCCTGCGCCAGGCGCAGAGGCCGTGCGGCCCTGGCGCTCGCCGCCAGCACGGCCGCGGCGGACGCGCGCCCCCCCGCGGTGCCTTTGTCCGCGGTCGCGGCCGGGAGCGCCGCCCGCCGCGAGCCCAGCCCGGGCGCCCTCGACGAGTCCCGCGTCTCCCCCGCCTGGGCTGAGCGACGCGCTCAACTTTCGAGCTCTCTGGGTGGCGGAGCATTCGGGGGTGGCCCCTGCCGCCCTTCACCGCAGCGGCAACCTGCTCGCTCGGTTCCTTGCCATCTTCGGACCGTGGCTTCACGGTGCGGGTTTTCCGCATCACGTTTTTGTTCGCGCCATTCTGTGGGCGTGCAGGCACAGCGCACTCCATGGAGGGCGCTTCTGACCCAGGCGTTGGACGTTGCCAGACAGTGGATATTAGCCTTGAAACTTCGCCAGGGCTTTCTGTCCGAGCCTCCCGAGCTCCGCCCTCCACTCCCCCGTGCACTTCTGCGCGCAATGGTGGGGCTTTCTCTCCTGTGGGACTGGCCGGATGTGGAGGCGTTGCCTCTAGCAGGTATACTACGTCGCGACCGCCCTGCGAGTTCCTCAACGCTCTCCGCTGCGACCTTTACCTCCTGCGCGAACGCCTGGAGTCTCCTGGCGACGCCTTCCTGTCCATCCCAGCTCCGCATTCTCTGCCACGCGCAGAGGGTGGTGGGGGGAGGGGGGAGGGCTTCTTAGAAGCACCCCTGCTTCTTAGAAGGCGCGGGCCTTCTCTGTAGATGTAAGGCCGGCGCCTTCCCCCTCCCTCCACCCCCTTGTGCGCGCCGCCAACCAACAGACCTGTCGGCCTCGCCCCGTGCAGCAGCATGCCCGCTGGTTCCGATCGGGCCACGGTGAAGATCACGGAGCTGGTGTTCCGCCAGTTGGGGCCCACGGTTCCGCGAACGACCTTCGGTCAGAGCGGCTTCCGCACTCGGATGGGGAGGGGGAGGAGGAGGGGGAGGAGGAGGAGGAGGGGGAGGAGAAGGGGGAGGGGGAGGGGGAGGAGGAGGAGTAGGAGGAGGAGGAGGAGGAGGAGGAGGAGGAGGAGGAGGAGGAGCGCGGCCGAAACGAAAACCCGTCGCAGGGGCTGGACCTAAGCGGAGTTTGGGCGATCTCGTGGGCCGTTTCCGCTCCGATCTCGCTTTGGCGGCAGGGGCGAACCGAAGGCAGCACGAGGTAGAAACGAAAACGAAACGAAAACCCGTCGCAGGGGCTGGACCTAAGCGGAGTTTGGGCGATCTCGTGGGCCGTTTTCGCTCCGATCTCGCTTTGGCGGCAGGGGCGAACCGAAGGCAGCACGAGGTAGAAACGAAAACGAAACGAAAACCCGTCGCAGGGGCTGGACCTAAGCGGAGTTTGGGCGACCTCGTGGGCCGTTTTCGCTCCGATCGCGCTTGGCGGCAGGGGCGAACCGAAGACAGCACGAGGGGAAATCGAACACGAAACGGAAACCCGTCGCAGGGGATGGACCCTGTGGACCTAAGCGGAGTTTGGGCGAACCACCCCCCTTTTTTTTATTTTTTTATTTTTTTTTTTTTTATTTCGTGGCCGTTTTCGTTTCGGATCGCCGCTTGGCGGCAGGGTGCGAACCGAAGACAGCACGAGGGGAAAGCGAACCGGGGCGGAGGAGGAGGAGGAGGAGGAGGAGGAGGAGGGAGGAGGAGGAGGAAGCGACACGAAGACCGGTTCGGCCGGGCGTGGCTGCTGCGGCGTTGGAGGCCTCGCTTCGCCGTTCTTTTTTTTCGTGCCCCCGCCAGGCGTGGCCACCTGCCCGCGCGTTCGCCCTCGGGACGATGCCGCAGCGCGGAGTGCCGGAGAATGATGATGATGATTGTGATGTTGGGTGGTGGTGTGGATTGACGATGGACGATGACGATGATGGATGATATGATGATGATGATGATGATGATGATGATTATGACGATGCGTTGTCCGATGCCGATGATGATGATGTGACGTTGATGTTGAATGATGTGATGTTTCGGAAAAGATGATGAAAGTGAGGTTGGAGATGATGATGACGATGATGATGAGGTGATTGTAATGATTATGGTGGAAAGCGATGGTGTTGAGTTGACGATGATGGTGATGGTGAGATGATGATGATGACGTGATGATGTGATGAATGATGATGAGGTGCTGATGCTGATGTGATGATGCTGATGTGGATGTGATGATGATGATGATGATGATGGTGTGTTGATGATGATGCTGATGATGATGACGATGATGAAAGTGAGGTTGGAGATGATGATGACGATGATGAGGTTGATTGTAATGATTATGGTGATGGTGTTGATTATGACGATGATGGTGATGGTGATGGTGATGATGATGATGATGATGATGATGACGATGTTGCTGCTGATGATGATGATGCTGCTGATGCTGATGCTGATGATGATGATGATGATGATGCTGATGCTGATGCTGATGCTGATGATGATGATGACGATGACGATGACGATGACGATGACGATGACGATGATGATGATGATGGTGATGATGACGATGATGATGATGATGACGATGATGACGATGATGAAAGTGAGGTTGGAGATGATGACGATGATGATGAGGTTGATTGTAATGATTATGGTGATGGTGTTGAGTATGACGATGATGGTGATGGTGATGATGATGATGATGACGATGATGATGATGGTGATGATGATGATGATGATGACGATGATGATGAGGCTGCTGATGCTGATGATGATGATGATGCTGATGCTGATGCTGATGCTGATGATGATGATGATGATGATGATGATGATGTTGATGATGCTGATGATGATGACGATGATGAAAGTGAGGTTGGAGATGATGATGACGATGATGAGGTTGATTGTAATGATTATGGTGATGGTGTTGATTATGACGATGATGGTGATGGTGATGATGATGATGATGATGATGATGTTGCTGCTGATGATGATGATGATTGATGCTGCTGATGCTGATGCTGATGATGATGATGATGATGATGATGATGATGATGCTGATGCTGATGCTGATGCTGATGCTGATGATGATGATGATGATGATGATGATGATGATGATGATGATGATGATGATGATGATGATGATGATGGTGATGGTGGGGGTGCGGATGAGGATGACGATGAGGATGACGACGACGTCGACCACCGACCACCGACCGCTGACGACCGACGATTGGCGACTGACGACCGACGACCGACAGACGATCGGCGACCGACGACCGACGGAAGACGACCGACGACCGACGACCGACGACGGACGACGGGCGACAAACGTCAAACGACCAACGACCGACGGCCGACGACCAACGACCAACGGTCGACGGACGACCGACGGCCGACGACCGACGACCGGCGGCTGACGGCGGCAACGGACGACCCACGACCGACAACCGACGACGGACGACCAACGACCAACGAACGACGACCAACGACCGACGAACGACGATCGAGGACCGACGGACGACAACCGTCGACGGACGACCGACGGACGACCGACGACCGACGACGACGCCGCCGTCTCCCCCCCCCTCCCTGGTGCTTCGCAGCCTCCCTCCCCGCTCCTCCCTGCTCCTCCCCCTTCTCTTATTCTGCCCCCCTTCTCCTCCTCCTCGTCGTGTCGTCCTCCTCCCCTCGTTTCCTCCTCCTCCTCCTCCTCCTCCTCCTCCCTCCCGTGCTCCCCCCCCCTCCTCCCCCCTCCTCGTCCCTCTTCCCCTCCTCTCCTCCTCCTCCGCGCCCCCCTCTGCGCGCGCAGCCGGTCGGCGGGGGCGAGCTGCACGCGCGTCGGCGCCTGCTGGACGTGCAGCTTGGCGAGGGCCCGGAGGCGTCGTCGTCGTCGCCGTCGTCGTCGGCGGCGCCGCCGCCGTCCTCGTCCTCGTCCTCGTCGCTGGCGTCGGCGTCGGCGATTGCGTCGGGGGGGGGGCGGAGTAGGAGGAGGGGGAGGGGGAGGGGGAGGGGGAGGGGGAGGGTGGGAGAAGAGGGGAGGGGGAGGGTCAGGGAGGGGGGATGGGCGAGGGGAGGAGGCGGCAACGACGGAGGAGAGGCGGGCGAGGAGAGGAGTAGGAGGTAATGAGGGAAGGGAAAAGCATGATGATGGTGATGATGATGATGATGATGATGATGATGCTGATGCTGATGCTGATGCTGATGCTGATGCTGATGCTGATGCTGATGCTGATGCTGATGCTGATGACGATGCTGATGACGATGCTGATGCTGATGCTGCTGCTGCTGCTGATGATGATGATGATGATGATGATTATCCTTATGCTGATAAAGCTGCTGCTGATGATGCTGTTGATGCTGCTGACGATGATGCTGGTGATGATGATGATGGTTATGATGATGGTGATGATGGTGTTGCTGATGTTAATGCTGATTATGATGCTGATGCTGATGCTGATGCAGATGATGACATGAGGTTGAGGCTGCTGCTGTTGGTGCTGCTGCTGATGATAATGATGATGAGGAGGAGGAGGACCAGGAGGAGGAGGATAAGTTGTAGTATACTGATGATGATGCGGATGATGATGATGATGATGATGATGATGATGATGATGATGATGATGATGATGATGATGATGATGATGATGATGATGATGATGATGATGATGATGATGATGATGGATGCTGATGCTGCTGCTGCTGCTGATGATGATGATGATGATGATGATGATGATGATGATGGTTTGATGGGATGGTGATGGGATGGTGATGGTGATGGTGATGTGGATGATGATGTTGTTGTGATGATAGATGATGATGCTGATGCTGATGATAATGATGTGGATCGAGGAGGAGGGAGGAGGAGGAGGAGGAGGAGGAAGAGGAGGAAGAGGAGGAGGAGGAGGAGGAGGAGGATAGGTTTGCAGCGTGCAGTTATAAGCCACCCCACCGAGGTATTTGACACGTGGGGTAAGGCAACTGCCCCCAGAGTAGTGGCCGAAGGAATGTTACTAAGCACGCCGTCCTGCAGCGCCATGCTCGGCGGCCCAGGCATTCGTGGGTCGCGGCCAGTGCCACAGCCACCAAGGAGCCAGCTGTGAGCGACCGCACAAGACGGCACGAGGCTTGCTGGCGGTGGGAGGAGGAGGAGGAGGAGGAGGAGGAGGAGGAGGAGGAGGAGGAGGAGGAGGGGGAGACGAGCAAGGAGGAGGAGGATGAGGAGCTGGAGGAGCTGGAGGAGAGGATGAGGAGGAGGAGGAGGAGGAGGAGGAGGAGGAGGAGGAGGAGGAGGAGGAGGATGGGGCGAAGCGGCGCACCGATCGCGGTTGGCGTCGAAATGGCAGTGTGCGATGTGGCGCCAACGGCCCGTTGATTGCGCGCTGTCCCCCCACGCTTTGGGGAGAGCGTGCGCCGGGCGGATCCCCGGCTTCGGATGCAACTCCTGGGAGGTCAAAGTCTGACTGTGCCCTGGGCCGAAATCCGGCTGAACCCGCGCTGCTCCCGCTTACCCATCGGTCGTTGAAAGTAGGTATTTCTGGATTCCCAGATTCCAATCTACTTTCAGCGCCTTCCTACTTCAAGAGTCGAGTGGTTTTCCCTCTTCCTTCCTCTTCAGGAGGCGGGGCGGAAACCCGATCTATTTCCAACGCCTTCCTACCTCATGTTTCTACCTACTTCTTCCGACCGATGGGCATTCCGGCTTCATCCCGTTTAACTCGGCTTAATCCCGCTTGCTCCGCGGCCTAATCGGGTGCAGCAGACCCTGATCCTTGCGACGAGGACCTCCCAGTAGTTGCCTCCTGACCTGGCTTGGGGGACACCGAGCACCTCACCCCGGACAGCGTGCGTTCCGGCGATCGATGTTGCACGCCATCTTTCCAACGCCTACCGGGAGTGCGGGTGCCGGAGCCACGGCGCGGGTGGCCAGCAGCGCAGGAGGGCGAGCTCCGAACTGCCTCGGTGATCTCAAGACGGTGCCGAGGGTTCGAGAACGGTTGCTCTGGGATGAAGAAGAGCGCGAGGAGGAATATGGTGAAAAGGGTGGGGGGAGGGGAAGGGGGAAGGGGGGGAGGAGGATGAGGGGAGGAGGAGGAGGGGAGGAGGAGGAGTTGGAGGAGGAGGAGGAGGAGGAGGAGGAGAGGGTGGGAGGTGGGGAGTTGAGAGGGGGTGGTCTTCGGGGCTTCTTGGGACTGTCTGAAGCTTTCCCGAGGTGGTCTGAGCCGAAAGCCTCGGAAACAGCAGTCGCTGATATTCCTGAGGAGTCTGTTTGGCTTTTGCCTATCGTGGCCTCGCTGGAGGCTGGAGGCTTCTTTGGGCGTGTCTTTTGGTCTTCTCATGGCTTCTCGGAGCCTGTTGGGGGCTTCTTGGAGCCTTTAGGACCTCGTCGGGCAGGTTTCGGCTGATTGGGGGACGTCTCGCAGCCGTCTTCGAGCGATCTGGGGCCATCTCGGGGCCCGTTGGAAGCCGAAGAGGGCGCCAGGCAGCAATACCAGGGGTGCTATCCAGAGGGCGCGCGCTCCGGGAGGGGTCTTCAATCAAGCTACAGAGGCCTTGCCAAGCAGCCAATCGCCATTCGAATGCCCCACCGTCGCGCAAGCGCGGGGGCGGATCGAAAAGTCCTCCTCTTCGTCGCCCCCATGTCAGAGGGGTGGGGCCGGCCGACAGGGATCGCCCCCGCCGTCCATGACCCCCCATCCGTGGGCTTCGAGTGGAGGCACTCTCTCCGCCGTCAGCTCCACCCCCCTCAGCTTCGCAGCTGCTGTCTGAGTGGGCCGGCCGGTTTGCGCCTGTCTTAGCTAATTCGCCTAGTTCGCGTCCCGGACTTTGCTCTTGCCGCCTGACCGTCGTCTCGCGGCCGCGACCAAAAAAGTGGAGGCACTCTCCAAGCGAAGGCTGTCTCCACTCGGCCAGATCTGTCAAGGTGACCCCGAAAGGAAGGCCGTCTGAGGGCGGCCCGCCCGCTGGTAGACCTGGAAGCCCAGGCAGTGATTCCTCTCCCTCCTCCTCCTCTTCGTCCTCGCTCCTCCTCCTCCTCCTCCTCCTCCTCCTCCTCCTCCTCCTCCTCCTCCTCCTCCTCCTCCTCCCCCCAGCGACAAGATGCGCCCTCCAGGGGCACCCTGGGCTGGCACCTGCAGAAGCACAGCTCCCGTTGCGATCGAATCGATCCGACTCGACATCGCCTTCGGCGGGCCCGAGGCTCGCATGGCGCCGTTGTGCATCTTGGCGCGGCCGGTTCGACTCGATTCCGGCTGCGTGCCGTTGCGGCCCGGCCCGCTCCGTCGATCCGATGCAGTTGTTCATGACATGGATCTCCTCTGCGCTTCCTCCTCTCACTCCTCATCTTGTTCCTCCTCTTGCTCCTCATCCTTCTCCTCCTCACCCTCCCCTCCAACCCCCACCCTCACACTCTCTCTGAGGAGCGGCACCCCGAGTCTTCGTTCAGGCTTGCGAGTCTCGTCCCCTCGGGGCTGTGCTAACTCAACCTCCTCCTCCTCCTCCTCCTTCTCCTCTTGCTGCTGCTCTTCCTCCTCCTCCTCCTCCTCCTCCTCCTCCTCCTCCTCCTCCTCCTCCTCCTCCTCCCCCTCCTCGGCGAGGACTGCGTTCTCTTGCTCGCCGTCAAGCGCGGGTTGCAGGAACCGCTCTGGCTGCAGGCGGGCGGCGCCCACGCGCACGGAGGGAAGTGGCGCCGCCGACCGCGTGGTGGTGGGTGAGGAGGAGGAGTAGGAGGAGGAGGAGGCGGAGGAGGAGGCGGATAAGGAGGAGGAGGAGGAGGAGGAGGAGGCGCAGGAGGAGGGGGAGGCGAGAGTATGAGGAGGAGGAGGAGGTCGGAGGAGTAGGCGTAGATGAGGAGGAGGAGGAGAGGAGGATGAGGAGAGGAGGAGGAGGAGGAGGAGGAGGCAGGAGGAGGAGAGCGGAGGAGGAGGAGGGGAGGCGGGAGCAGAGGAGCAGAAGGTGCAGACGGAGGAGGAGGAGGAGAGAGGAGGAGGAGGAGGAGATGTAGAGGAGGAGGAGGAGGAGGAGGAGGAGGAGAAGGAGAGAGCAGGTCCATAGCAGGAGCAGGAGCAGAGCAGGAGAGAGGAGGAGGATAGGAGAGGAGTTTAGTTCGGAGAGGAGGTGATGAGGTATCTGATAATGAGTGAGGAGGAGCCTGAGTAGGAGGAGGAGGACAGGAGGCGGAGAGCAGCAGCAGGAGCAGGAGCAGGATCGGAGAGGAGGTAGCAGGAGAGTAGGAGGAGAGGAGGGAGAGGAGCGGAGGAAAGCGGAGGATAGAGGGGAGGAGGGGAGGCGGAGTTAGGCGAGGGAGAGGAGAGGAGGAGGAAGGATGAGGAGGAGGAGAGGAGAGGATTATGGAGGGGGCGGGAACGAGGTGAGGAGGAGCTGGAGAGGAGGATGCGAGTGGGGAGGAGGCGGATGGGGACGTGGAGGCGGGGCGAGGTGAGGCGGGAGGCGGAGGCGGAGGAGGAGGAGGAGGAGGAGGGAACAGGGACGATGAGGAGGAGGGAGATGAGAGGAGGAAAGGCAAGGAGGAGGAGGGCGGTAACGGAGGAGGAGGGAGGGAGGTGGGAGGAAAGAATGGAGGGGGATGAACAGTTGCATGAATAGGAACAGGAATCTGAGCTGCATCATGAACAGGAGTATAAGCAGGAGGAGGAGGAAGAAGAGGATGAGGAGGCGGAGGATGAGGAGGAGGAGGAGGCGGAGGTGGAGGCGGAGGAGAAGGATGGGGAGGATGATGAGCAGGAAAAGGGAACAGGACGAGGAGGAGGAGGAGGAGGACGAGGAAGAGGAGGAGCACGAGGAGGCGGCGGAGGAGGAGGATCAGAGTGGTGGTGGTGGTGAGGAGGAGGAGGAGGAGGTGGCGGAGGAGGAGGAGGAAGAGGAGGAGGAGGCGGATGATGATGAGGAGGTGAGAGGGAGGGAGGGAGGAGGGAGTGGAAGGGAACAGGAGCAGGAGCAGGAGTAGGAAAAGGAACATTAGCAGGAACATGAGCAGGAGCAGGAGCAGGAGCAGGAGCATGAGCAGATGGAGGAGGAGGATAAGGAGGAGGATGAAGAGGAGGAGGATGAGGAGGAGGGGGAGGATGATGAGGAGGAGCAGGAAGACGAGGAGGAACAGGAACAGGAACAGGAACAGGAATAGGAACAGGAACAGGAGCAGAGAGAGGAATAGGAGGATGAGGATGAGGAGGAGGAGGAGAGGAGAAGGATAGGGGAAGAGAGGGAGGGAGGGAGGGAGGGAGGAGGGAGTAGGATGCAGGAGTATGAGTAGGAGCAGGACCAGAGGAGGAGGAGGGAGAGGAGGAGGAGAAAGGACGGCGAATGAGGAAACGGAGACATGACGAACGGAGGAGAGGAGGATGAGGAGGAGGAGGAGGAGGAGTGAGTGTGAGAGGAGGAGGAGGAGGAGGAGGAGGGAGGAGAGAAGACGGAGCAGGGAACAGGACGAGGAGGAGGAGGAGGATGAAGGAGGAGGAGGAGGAGGAGGAGGAGGAGGAGGAGGGAGGAGAGACGAGGGAGCAGGGAACAGGACGAGGAGGAGGAGGAGAGGCCGGGGGATTGTGGAGTCGCTGTGGGTTTTAGACGAACATTTACGATATTTCAGTTTGTTCCTCAAAATTATGCTGATGTTTCCTTTCTCGTTTTTTTTTGTTCTCTCTCTCTCTCTCTCTCAATCTCTCCCACTCCCATTCCCATTCCATTCCCATTCCCAATACCATTACCCTTACCATTCCCATCCCAATTCCCATTCCCATTCACATTACCGTTACCATTACCTTTACCTTTGTCTTTACCTATACCTGTACCATTACCATTACCATTGCCATTACAATTGCCAGTGCCATTACCATTGCCATTACAATTGCCATTACCATTGCCATTGCCATTGTCAGTGCCGTTGCCATTGCCATGGTATTGCCATTGCCAGTAGCCACCCCGTTACCATTACCGTTACCATTACCATTCCCATTACCATTACCATTGCCATTCGCCACCACAATTACCATTGCCATTATCATTAGCATTACCAACACAATTGCCATTACCATTACCATTACCGCTGCCATCACCATTACAATTCCCATTCCCATCATCATTGCCATTACCATTACCGTTACCAGTACCATTTTCATTACCATTGCCATTATCTTTCCCACTACCACTACAATTTCCATTCCCGTTCCCGTTCCAATTACTACTACGATTACCATTACCATTACCATTACCATTACCATTACCATTACCATTACCATTACCATGACCATGACCATGACCATGACCATGACCATGACCATTACCATTGCCATGGCCATTGCTATTGCCATTGCCGTTGCCGTTGCCATTCCCATTACCATTGCCAATCGCTACCCCGTTACCATTGCCATAACCATTACCATTACCGTTATCGTCACCATTACCATTCCCAGTACCATTACCATTACCGCTGTCATCACCATTACAATTCCCATTCCCATCATCATTGCCATTACCATTATTGTTACCAGTACCATTTCCATTATCATTGCCATTATCTTTCCCACTACCACTACCATTTCCATTCCCGTTCCCGTTCCAATTACCACTACGATCCCCATTCCCATTCCCATTCCCATTCCCATTACCATTGCCATTACCATTACCATTGCCATTGCCCTTGCCATTCGCCACTACCATTACCATTGCCATTCGCCACTACCATTACCATTCCCATTGCCATTGCCATTGCCCTTCGCCACTACCATTACCGTTGCCAGTACCATTACCATTCCGATTCACATTCCCATTCCCAATACCATTACCATTACCATTACCATTACAACTGCCATTGCCATTACCATTACCTTTACCTCTACCTTTACATTTACCCTTACCCTTACCATTCCCATTTCCGTTACCACTACCACTGCCATTTCCATGCCCGTTCCCATTCACATTCCCATTCCCGTTCCCATTCCCATTCACATTACCATTGCCATTACCATTACCATTGCCATTGCCATGGCCATTACCATTGCCATTGCCATTGCCATTGCCATTACCGTTGCCGTTGTCATTGTCATTGCCATTGCCAGTCGCCACCCCGTTACCACTATCATTACCGTTACCATTACCAGTACCATTACCATTACCTCTGTCATTACCATTACCATTCGCATTGCCATTGCCATTGCCATTAGCCACTACCATTACCATTGCCAGTACCATTTCCATTGCCATTCTCATTCTCATGACCATTACCGTTACCATTACCATTATCATTACCATTTCCATTACCATTACTTTTACCTCTACCTTTACCCTTACCCTTATCATTCCCATTTCCGTTACCACTACCACTATCATTTCCATTCCCGTTCCCGTTCTTATTCCCATTCACATTCCCGTTCCCATTCCCATTACCATTGCCATTATCATTACACTTACCATTGCCATTGCCATGGCCATTATCATTGTCATTGCCATTGCCAATCTCATTGCCATTGTCATTACCATTACCGTTGCCATTGTCATTGCCATTGCCAATCGCTACCCCCTTACCGTTACCATTACGAGTACCAGTACCATTACCTCTGTTATTACCATTAGCATTACCATCACCATTGCCATTGCCATTCGTCACTACCATTACCATTGCCAGTACCATTTCCACTCCCATTCCCATTACCATGATACTACCGCTGCCATTACCATTAGAATTCCCATTCTCATTCCCATTCCCAATACTATTACACTTTCCAGAACCATTACCATTACCATTACCAGTGCCATTACCATTACCACTACCACTATCATTTCCATTCCCATTCCTATTACCATTACCATTACCACTGCCATTGCCAGTACCATTACCATTACCATTACCATTACCATTACCTTTAACTCTACCTTTACCTCTACCCTTACCATTACCATTGCCATGACCATTACCATTGCGATTGCCTTTGTCATTGCCATTCCCATTGCCATTACCATTACCATTACCGTTGCCATTGCCATTGTCATTGCCTCGCTACCCCGTTACCACTACCATTACCGTAACCATTACCATTACCATTACCAGGACCATTACCATTACCATTACCATTGCCATTGCCATTGCCATTGCCATTCGAGGATTTCAGTAGGAATCATTCAGTGGAGGGTTTCAGTAGGAATCCACATGTGGAGGATTTCGGTAGGAATCATTCAGTGGAGTGTTTCGATAGGAACCCTTCTGTCGAGGATTTTACTGTGAATCCTTCTTATGGGGGCGTCCAATAGGAATCCTTCTAGGGGGGAGGGCAGATGTGGTCACGTCGCATTCCTTTTTTTTTTTTTTCTCCTGGCGCCCCCCCCCCCAGAAAAAAAAAACTGATATTTTTTAGGTTTTTTTCTGGGTTGGGGGGGGGCGCATGGAGAAAGGAGTGCGGTTGCAGAGAGGTGAGCAGGACGGGAAAGAGGGAGGACGGTGAGGAGGAGGAGGATGAGAGAGTGAGGAGGAGGGAGGAGGGGCGGGAGGGGAGGAGGAGGAGGGAGGACGACACAGAGGCGAGTTTGGCACAGTAAACAGTCGCGAACATTTCAGCGCGAAACCCTCGTGCGCGAGGGAGGGAATATCATAATTACGAGTACGCTCGTTACTTTACTCGAGGAGGAGGAGGAGGAGGAGGAG